ACGCGCACACAGCTCGCATCTGGGACCCCAACCGCCTATGTGCACAGAGCTCACATCTGGGCCCCCGACCGTCTACGCGCACACAGCTCATATCTGGTCACCTGCCACACGAAACGATTTCACAAAGAGGTGTAACCCGGGGAAGAGAAAGGCTTCTCTGTTCCAACTATATCCACTTGACAGTTCGTGTATGGTCACCTGTTTGTTGCTTGATTATCTGTTAAATTTATTTTTTTAATTGTAGGAAATTTCAAGCTGATTCAAAAGTCATGAGAAAAGCAGGAACATCACGCAGGTTCCCACCCTGCCACCCCAACAACCATCCAGCGGAGGAACCTGTTCTATCCACCTCTCCAGAAGGAGCTTTTAAAATATTCTGGCAGAACCACGGTTCCATTATATCTACAAACGTGTTGTCACTGGGTTAATTGGTATCACAATACGATAACCTTTGAAGGGAGGTGGCCAGCTCTGATGGAACTTGACAGAGTGACGTGGGAGACCCCGGGTGGTACAAACGGTTAATGCGCTCAGCTGATAACCGTCCTGTAGGGAAGAGCTGAGAAGCGGTTCTGTCACCCAAGCTTTTATCATTAGGCACAGATAACGTGAAAATGAAGCAGAACTGACATTCATTTTCCACGAAGAGCCTTTGTGAGATGTGTGACAACCTGAGTCCTAGAGCCCTGCTCCCCGCTGGTCAAAGAGGAAATCCTGTACGGGGAAAGGACCGCATTCTCCCCCCGCCATGCCGGCACAGACCTGTGGGCGTCCTTGACGTGAACTCGGGGTCAAAATGGAAGGTGTCCTCGGGCCTGCCCACCGCGGGCTTAAAGGGCGGCTTGATCTCCTTCCTGTACAGCTTCTGTGAGGAGAGCGAGACAGGCAGTGAGGACGCAGATCCCGAGGAAGGCTGAGGGCTGGCAGGGACGTGCGCGGGGACAGGAGCGTTTTATCAGCACGATCTCAGCTTTCACCGGATCGAGGAATCTCTAAATACTCTGAAATTATAAAAGGGGCCTGATCTTATGCGTAAGAGAAGGTAGTTGGGGACAGGCAACAGTTTTCAAACTTTTTTTTTTTTGCTATAGAATATTTTTCCTCAAGTAAAGTCTTCCAGGATAACCACCTCCCCAGATAACAGTGGTGAAGAAGGGTGGGGGGCTCTGCTGTTTGCCTTCCTCCTCCTCACCCTGGTGACAAAAAAATTCTCTTTTGATCCCACCCACCTCCAAACTCCCTATAATTGGACCTAGTCCCGGCCCCTCCCACTACTTCACTCCTCACTCCCCACACCTGGCTGTCTCCTGGCCCCTCCCACCTCCTCACTCCCCGTACCTGCCCGTCTCCTGCCCCTCCCACCTCCTCACTCCTCACTCCCCACACCTGGCCATCTCTCGGCCCCTCCCACCTCCTCACTCCCCACACCTGGCTATCTCTCAGCCCCTCCAACCTTCTCACTCCCCACAGCTGCCCACCCTGGGACATCTGAGAGGGACCACGGAACTTCAGCGCTATGGGGCACCGGGAAAACCCCTGGGCTGGCCATCCCTAGGTCCTTTCTCACCCACACCTTTCTGGGTCTGTGTGCTGGTGGCTGTGGTCCTCCCTATGCCTGGGACCCCACCAGTGGGTGTCACAGATGGGGGCGTCCAGGTCCCCTCTGCTCAGGTCGGCCGAGTCTGCACTTTAACCGGGCGTTGGAACATCTGCATCTGGACAGTGCCCCCCCTTCCCCACAGCCACACCAGGGGTGCCAACACACTTCACAGAAGCCACCTTCCACCAAACGCGAAAGCCCACAGTTCTCATTGCTCCCTTCCAAGCCCAACGTCCATCGTCCCAGTGCGCTCTGTCTCCGTGACTGCCTGCTCTCCAGGCCTGACTCCAGTTCGGGGAGCAATGCTTGGTGACTGAGGTGGGTAAGGCGGTGAAGGGTGAGAGGAGGGAGTGAGACAGGACGGGAGGACTCTGGGCTTCTGGAGGAAGTCTGAAGGAGAGAGAAGGCCTGAAGTGGAGGGGGGCGGAGGGCCACGGCGGTGCCGCCTCCCTGCGGGGATGGAGAGGCGTCTGCCTGGGTGGATTTCGGAACAGAGAAGACCCAGGTTTAGTGAAATCACACCAGGGCAACAAGGCGGGGGGTGGGGGGCAGACAACAGGTGAGAGACCTGTCATGGATTGAATTGTGTCCCCCCAAAATGTGTGTACCAGTTTGGCTGACCATGATTCCTGGTATCCTGTGATTTTCCTATGTTGTAAATCCTGCCTCTATGATGTTAATGAGGGAGGATGGGTGGCAGTTGTGTTAATAAAAAGCAGAACTCAATCTACAAGACTGGATTGTGTCCTGAGGCAATCTCTTGAAATATAAGAAAGAAGTGAGCAGAGAGACAGGGGGCCTCATACCACCAAGAAAGCAGTGCCTGGAGTAGAGCGTGTCCTTTGGACCCGGGGTCCCTGCGCAGAGAAGCTCCTAGTCTGGGGGAACATTGATGAGAAGGCCGACAGATAGAGAAAGCCTTCGCCTGGAGCTGATGCCCTGAATTTGGACGTCTAGCCTACTTGTCTGTGAGGATATAAACTTCTCTTTGTTAAAGCCATCCACTTGTGGTGTTTCTGTTAGAGCAGCACTAGATGGCTAAGACAGGACCCTAACCTGGTAGAGGGTTAGAACAAGAGGGGGTGGTGCTGCAGCCACGTGGTGTGGTTTCCCTGTCCTGCCTGGTCACAGGGAACCCCAAGACACTGGCTGCAAGCACAGCCCCCAGACCCTGTGCTCAGCTCCTCAGTCTGGAGAGCGGCTCAGAGATGGGGTGATTCCCAGGGTCGGGCGGGTCTGGGAGCCTGGCTCCCTGCCTCCCAGTCCAACTCTGGTCTATAGCTCTCAGGGACATGGGGAGGCAGACTGTACCCTACCAACTGTACAGATGGGGAAGCTCAGGTGAGGGCAGGTTAAGGAACCAGTCCAAGGTCAAGATGAGTATGGGGCTGTGTGGGGCTGACGCCTGGACCCGACACCTGAGGGAGGCTCTCCCCATCACCCACAGCTGCCCCTGGTGCTCCAGAAGGGACTGGGGGCAGGCACAGAGGGCGGACGGAAGGAGGGAAGTGCCAGACACCGAGGCCACCCTGGAAGCTGGCGGCAGCTTGGAGGCAGGTGTGCCAGCTCGGAGGCAGGTGTGGATGCTGACTGCGGACCTACCACTTGGGTCTGAGGGGCAGTAGCTCCAGCATGCACTTGTCCAAGCTTAGGGGATGCCTCTGGGGCCTCAGAGGAGAAAATGGGTTGAATTCAGCCCCGTGTTCCTCCAGCCCTTGGTGACTAGCTTTCAATAGGAAGTGATTACTCTCTAAACCCTTCCCCAAAATACCAAAATGCTCTTTCTGTGGTGACACATGTGTTGTTGTCAGCTGCCACTGAGTCAGCCCTGACCCATGGTGAACCCCCACGCACAACTGAACGACACGCTGCCCCACCTTGCGCCATCCGCATAGGGTGTGATCCACGGGGTTTTCACTGGCTGATTTTCAGAAGTAGATCACCGGGCCTTTCTTCCCAGTCCATCTTAGTCTGGAAGCTCCGCTGAAACCTGTTCAGCATCATAGCAACACGCAAACCTCCACGGACAGACGGGCGGTGGCTGCGCCTGAGGTGCACTGGCCGGGACGGAAGCCGGGTCTCCCACATGGAGGGCGAGGATTCTGCACTGACCCGCCGCCTCTGCCTGCCTGCGGGGCGGGAGTAAACTTCTGTGACGCACAGACTTGTCAGAGAAGATCTAACAGGGAGACAGTTCCTCACTGTCATGAAAACGGCCACTGTGGCCGCCAAGGGCACCCAGCTCTGTCTCAGGGCGCTCCTTTGGTGACACCAGAGCTGGGGTTTAAATAAACCTCTGTCCTGCTAAAGTGGCAATCCAGTTCTCTCCCTCTGCATGCGTGCTTTCTCCGACAGGGTCTCTGTCACAGAGTCGAGGAGCCAGCCTCCCACTTCTGTTATGAAGGGGAATTATTTGCACGCACAATCTCCGTGAAAACAAAACCGGTTGTCATTTAATTCAAATGAGAAGAATTTTGCATCAGCAGAGCTAAGGCTTACAGGGTTTTCGTTCCTTCCCTCCTCCCCAACTGTCCAGCCTCCTCTCTTTCCTCAATGGCCACGAGGTACTCCACAAGGAAAAGGGGGGAGAAAATCTCTCCTACGCCGGCCCCCAACTTCACGGAAGCCAATAGAAACTAAACTCGTTGCTGTTGACTCCAACTCATGGCAAGCCCATGTGTGTTACAGCAGAACTGTGCTCCATGCGGTTTTCAAGGGCTGATTTTTTGGAAGTCAATCACCAGGTCTTTTTTCCGAGGCATCTCTGGGTGGATGGACTCCAACCTCCAAGTTTTTGGTTAGCAGCCAAGTGTGTTTACCATTTGTACCGCCAAGGATTCTGTTGCAATCTTAAAGGCCTGACAATTTCTTCCTGTTATTGGACAAAGAATTTGGAAAGTGCTATTGTGTTATTATTATAAATGTGTTTTCTTGCCCTGTGTCCGAAGCTAGGAGTGGCATGGAGGCTTTAGGGAAAGGATAATCTTGCCTCTCATTCGGCAGTAGAAACTGGTGGACTTCAGGGTGAAGTTTACAATGAGGAAGCAGCATCCTCTCGCTCATAACTTCTAGCCTGAGGAGAGATCCATTAGCTGTTCTGACCTAGATTCCCTCGGAGACGCCGGGCAGTTCATGCCATACCAAGGGGGTCTCATGTCCCCTCCAGCAGATGTCAATTCAAATCATCTCATCGGCCCCAGGATCTAGTCATGTCACACCTCAGAGCAGGGTGGAAATGGGCTTCAGCCGCGTGTGCGTAGGCAGTAGGCTGGGGAACTCTGAAGAGGCGCATTAAGATTCTATCTGCACCCCAAAGACCTTCAGATCAGTAAGGAAAGGACAGATGGAGAAATAAAAATGTTAACTGGATGATGCTAGGCCTCCGGGGATGGAGTAAGAAACAGATGCCAGTTCGGGGTCACAGACCCTACCATCTGCTTCCCCCGGCGAGCTTGGCTGTAGGTGTTCAGAAAAAATGCACTCCAATAAAGCCGAGGCCATTTGCAGGCTATGCCCGGGCCAGCTGTGTGGAAACGTGGGGGACACAAAGCGACGGCAGGCAGGAGTAACAGGAGGAGGTAGTGATTCTGGGGCCCCATGGGCAGATCTGAGGTGTGGGTGACGCACGAGGTGGAACCTGCCTGCCCAGGTTCACCTCGTCCGCATGCAATCCCAGCCAACATATCGCACCTACAAAACTGCCAAAGCGAAGGGTGGCTGTTCATTGCACAGGAGAGGCCCCCGTCAGGCTCCCCGCAAGAGCAAGCTCTCCTGGTGTATTTAAAACAGGACATTTACACAAATCTTTCTCCTGAACAGCGGAAAGGCCGGCCGCTCGCTAACCCACGCGCGACCCCAGGCCTGGCCCCTTGGCAAGGGCTCTCCCTGCGGCAGAGCTGTGCGCACCGAGGAGCGGAGGATGGCAGGAGGTCCTGGAAGCCCTCCATCTGCCTGTGCCTGGGCCAACCACAGACAAGGCGGGGGCATCCACCACACGCTGCCGGACAACCAGAGACCGTGGGAACTCTGTCTGAGTGCCTTGCCTCCGTTTCCCCCAGCAGCCTCTCCCCCTCGCAGAATAACACTTGACAATGTGCTTGAAAGGATCTTGAAACATCAAGGAATAATGGAAGCATAAGCTACTAGTATTAACAAAGATGGAGTCCCTGGTGGTGCAAATGGTTAATGTGCTTGGCTGACCAGAAGGTTGGAGGTTCGAGCCTACCCAGAGGCCCCTCAGAAGAAAGGTCTGGTGATCTGCTTCT